AAGTCTCTGGAATGGAAAGGAGTCAGGAGATCAGGGGGTGGTTATCACAGGTAGCTTAAAATAGCAAGAGTGGAATGGAAATATTAACTAAGTTGTTATAAGCAAACTCAGCCTCAGGTAAAAGATGAGATCAATTGTCCTAATGGTACCATATCTACCGTACCGTATTCTTCTAAAGTGGCATTAGCCTTCTCTGTTTTTCTATGTAACTTTTGTCAATGAGCACATTGTTCATCCAAGAAATAAAATAAACATTCCAAAAACATACCAGAAGAGAACAGGTATGGTATAAATGAGACTATGGTGAAATCTGTAGTTTTTTTAAAACAACAACAACATGCTAAATAAAAGTCAGATGAGCTATCCCAGGAGCAAAGGAAAAAGGTGAAAGGAATCAACTTTCCATCCAGCCTGAAAATAAGAAGTTTGGCAGGGCAAAAGGCTTGATAAGAAGAGATATGAGCCTTGATACACATTCTAATGTAAAATCACCAAAGGTCATGAAGAAGGAGAACAGGAATTTCAAATAATCAAAATATTCTATTGACCAGATGTCATGGCAAAGCTGCAAAACTTTTTTTCCAATAGAAGAAACAATTTATAAAAATAATAAAGGTGAGCTAAAAATCAAAATAAATTCTGGCACAGTTTTTCCCATTCTCAAGAAAAGAGATGGAGACAAAAAGAAGTTCCTTGAAGGCAATCCATCCAAGCCCACATATATAGATCCTGTTCCAGATGAGTATAGATTCAAGTAGGCATAGAAGGGACTTCTTTTCTGCCTCTGTCATGGCCCCATGTTCCAATGGGAAATAGACATTTATAAAAACACTGAGCAGCAGGGGACCTAGACTGCAACTTGCAGTGTACTATTTGACAACTTCTCTCCAGTGGAGCCAACGACAAGCAATTGGTTGGGTATGATTTTTCAACCAGCTGTACATCCATCTAATGATCCACTTATTGTGGAAGCTTCTACCTAACTGCTGGAAAACTGGTCAATCATCTGTGTTATCTGGTCCATCTGGATATCAACTTGGTTGTGGAGCAAAGAATTTGATCCACAGCCAACAGCATTGCAGTAATTTCTGTATAAAGTGTTTACTCTCACGGTTGAAGCATTTTCCTCCTGGGACGAAGAGTATGCAGTCCTTGCCTTGCTGCCTGACTTCAAATCCAAAATAGCTATAATTCTCTTCTCTCTAGAAACACAATACTGCATCCAGGAACATAATACCAATGAAGGCTTAGAGTTATGATTTATTGCAAACAAGATGCAAGGCAGAACGGCTGTTTACTGCAGAACACAGAAAGCAAGCCCTATAAATAAGCCCTTTAACAGCCTTAAGATTTAAATATGAAGTCTTTTTTCCCCTTCTGGTCAATATACTCTTGACTGCTCATTACCCCAGCTTCAGACCAGATTTACATATTTGGTGTTAATACAACAGTTTTGTAGTAGCCTGAGAATGACTGTTTTCTGCTGGATTTACAACTACATATAGTATCTAGAGAATATCAGTTTAGGGAAAGCTCATTTAAGCTATTTTCAGTTTTGCATTATATGTCTTTTGGGGAAAATGCAGTTAGTTTAATACTGACAGCAATTTTATTTTTTAACTTTCTGAAGGACAGCACTTAAACCTGAGACATATTGTCTGTCATGTATATAACATGAACTGTAGTTTAACATATGTCTGAATCAAAAACAGAATTTCCAATTGGGTTTTAGAAAATATTTCAGGCTTTTGGAAAGATCACTGATAATCTAGGGGTAAAAGTGAATATGAATATTGTATTATTATTTAACATAAATTTCTTGAAAACAAAAAGAAGAGCTTAGACATTTGTAGCTATTAGAAAAAGCTCTAATGGTGGGAAAGTGGAAGAAAATAGAATAAGACAACAACCAGCAAAAAGGTGGATGGACTCAATTACAGTGGCTATAAGAATGCATCTTGAAAGAACAGGTTAGGGATAGATCTCTATAGTCACCAAGAGTTGAAAAATGACTTTATGGCACATCAATCAATCCTTTTTTAAAAACTCCAAATTCATAATTGGAAGATTGTGATAGAATGGAAATTACTCTGATTAATGTCTGCAATATCCCAGATTCAGGGTGAAATTGCTGATAAGCCAAAATAAATCTGAAGTGGTACTTTTGATAAATAAATACACACACCCTTACATACACTAAGGTTTAAATTTCTAGTTTTATCACTGCATAATTTGTAATAATTTTACATTTGTTAAATAATGTACATTAATTTTAATTCATTAATTTTAGTGGTCATCTCCATAGTAGGTTAAATACTAAGAGATAAACATATAAGGATCACTGAATAATAGCTAACAATTCATTTACAATTTCAAACACCCCAAAACATAGATCTATGCTCAACCACAGCTACTCTCAAAATCACCAATATTTCTGCATTCTACAAATATAGGTGAATAAGTGACACACCTCTATATCGTTTTCCATTTCAGGTGATTTAGGCAGCTATTTAAAAGCAAATATTAAAACAGAAAACTTTACATTTAAATCCATGGCTAAGACATACAAGTGAAGATAAATAACATTAAACAATAACAACAGTACAGTGTTGATATGACTAATATACATAAAAAATTAAAACATACAAGGTATAAGTAGTTATTGTCCTCATTTGAATGATACTCTAGTAAGAAAATCCTGTACCCACAGGTGTACATATGTAAACAGAAAGTAGTTTGATAAAATACTGTATAGATTGAGACAACTTACAAACACTGCTCAGTGAATAAATGAATCTGCTCAAAGACCTCATATTAAAGTAACTTAGAAAGAAAGTCTTTATAGGGGAGAAACTAACCACAAATTATCCTTTTTCAATGGTGAACACCCTCCAGTAATTGAGTGAATCTAATTGTATACAATGCGCAGGATGTGAATGAAAAATTAGTTTTATTGCCAATTAATTAAACTTTGAAATATTCCCTAACTAAATTTGTGCTATGCTATTCCCCCCCCAATCATTATCAGTATTTAAATAAATGGAATGTTATGTCTGTAATCTAAATATTAAATGTGATAAAATTGTTTAGACTATTATACACCAATTGTATAAAATATGAGCCGAGGTGGCGCAGCAGTTAGAGTGCAGTACTGCAGGCCACTTTAGCTGACTGTGTTCAGGAGGTCAGCGGTTCAAATCTCACCGGCTCAAGGTTGACTCAGCCTTCCATCCTTCCGGGGTAGGTAAAATAAGGACCCAGATTGTTGGGGGCAATGTAAATATATATATACATTGCTTACTGGCGTAAACCGCTTAGAGAGTGCTTGTACTTAAAGCGGTATATAAGTCTCATAAATAAATAAATAAATAAATAAATAATGTACATTTATGCACGTGTATAGAAACATACACACGGAGTCAGATGGATGTTATTTATTTACCGGTAACTGTTAGATTTATGCTTTGTTTTTCCTCTAGGACTTAATGGGAGTCTATTTTACATTCTCTCCTCCCATTATCCATCATAATAACCACCCTGTGAAATAAAATGGGCAAGAGAGAAAGACTAGCCCAAAATCTTCCAGTGAAGTTTCTCTAGCTGAAAATGAGTTTGATCTACCAAATTCTAGTTCAACATCTTAATTATAGTACAGGTAGTCCTTGATTTCCAATAGTCCATTTAATGACTGTTTGAAGTTACAGTGGCACTGAAAAAAGCAACTCATGACCATTTTTCACACTTATGATTGCAGCATCCCCGTGGTCATGTGATCAAATTCAGATGCTTGGCAACTGGCATGTATTTATGACAGCTGCAGTAGCTGAGGGAGGGTCACATGATCACCTTTTGCGACCTTCTGACAAGCAAAGTCAATGGGAAAGCCAGATTCACTTAACAACCATGTTACTAACTTAACAACTGCAGTGATTCACTTAACAAGTCTGGAAAAAAAGGTCATAAAATGGGGGCAAAACTCACTTAACTGTCTTGGTTAGCAACAGAAACTTTGGACTCAATTGTGGTTCTAAGTCAAGGACTGACTGTACTACACTAGTTCTCCACATTATTAAATAACATAGTTAAAGCCCTTTTTATAGCTAATGAAGGCCCCATAAATCCTTTCAGTCTCATAGCAATCTCAGTTAAATAAGATATTCCTCTATTGCTATGCAGAAGTGTATCATTAATTACAATTTTCAGGGGCAAATACTTTCACATACTCTTCTAGCTATAAAAGTAATTTATAGTATCATAGTTCTCATAACACCTGGGAAACAATTCAATGAGTACCTGACATATGTCTGCTAATTATGTGATATATACTTTCAAGTAGAAGACAACAAACTGTGTGTAAAAGATGTTATGTAAGAGAGACAAGATATACTGGACAAGAATGAGAGGGATTTGAAAGTGGATTTAAAAATGACAGGCTACAAGAGTGATATTGAAAAAAATGCTACACTGGATATACAAATGAAAGCTGCTGATGTCTTAGTAATTAAAAGGGATATACAAATAACAAACAAAAATGATCTGTATATCTTTTTTATATTGGATTTGGAAAAGAAACTAATTTAACTTTATTATTATTATTATATTATTATTATTATTATTGTATTATTATTAAGTCTTGAAGAATTTTTTGAGAAGGGATAAGGATCAAATGAAAATAAATCAAGTTCTTAGACATTATTTGAAGAGCTTAAAGATCAAGATTATTAAAAGCAAAAAGGAAAGAATCTAAATTTGGTTTATTTATCAAGATTAAAATAAATATGTTGTTAATTCTGGCAATCTTTAATGGACTTTTGCTGATCAGGAAACAATGAGGCTTTTAAAAATGTATGTATGGATAAGAGATGGGAGATGGGAAAAACAGATTATTTGCTGTGTTTTAAGAAAAAGTGATAAAGAGTGATTGTTTACACTTGTGAAGGGTAATGTCATTTCTATTTTAAGTTTTATGTGCTGTTTGTTCTTTTTATTCTTTTTTTTAGTTTGTATTAGTTTTCATCTTTCTAATTGTATGTTTAATAAAATTACTATAAAAACGACTTCCGGTTCCGGATCCCGGCACTCGCAGCTGTGCGAGGAGACTGCTCTCTTCGCCAGCTGATTTTCCGCTGCCTATAGACCCTTAATCAGGTCTAAAAGCTGCCTTGGAGGGGCGGCTACTGCTGAGGAGATCCTCATCCATGACAGCTTCTTCCACAGACTGAGATTGCTCCTTTGGACCGATGGTGGAAAGAATGGCCAGTAAAATGGCCATTCATTTTGCCGCTGTAACCAGAAGTCAGAAGAACATCTAAGCACAGGAACCACCGTGGCTGAGCCAGGTGAGACTTTTTTTCTGCCTTTCTTGGGTTTCTTTTTTCTTTTGTGCCTATAAAGAGCACTTTTGAAATGATTTCCCTACTCTTAAGAAAATGGCGTTTGTGAGTGTGGGAAAAAGAAGCTTAAATGGACTGAATTAATTTAAAGTGATTTTTTTCTATTTTTTTTCCTTCACTTGGGGAGTCTTGGAAAATTTTGTGACTATTGAATCTGCTATTGGACTTGAATTATCCTTTTTTCTGTGTTTCCTGGTCTTGTTTATGAGATTCCTGGTCTCTGGGAGAAGATTTTACATTGTACTGAGGACATCTTGTGGAAAAAGTTAAAATTGCAACTTTCTCTTTTTTCTGAGGATTAGACAGACCTTGACTTTCAGATTACCATAAAAGGAAAAATACAAAGAAAATTAACAGCTGTACTGGTGGGGGTGGACACTGATTAAATGTTCCCTGAACACAGCCTCTACTAAATGATACAGACTGTTTCTAATTATTTTTGAAATGGAACAACCCTTGTTTCAACTTGACTATAAACTTATACTGGAAAAACATTACGAAGCTACTGATGAAATACGTTTGCAAATAAAAGAATTTACTATGGAAATAAAAAACAGAAATTCTGCTTTGAATTTACAAATTGACTCCCAGACTTTGTCTGAGCACTCTATGGACCAAGAAACAACAGAAGCAGGATTAACTAAAGGTAAAGAAGATTCCATTCTACTTCATATGCATGCTGATGAGATCTCCGAGGAACTAAAAACGACTGCAATTAAACCACTTACAACCCTAAAACCAACAGAAATGGACAGACAAGCCCAACGAACTGAGAACTGTGGTAGCTTGGATAAACAACTATTAGCTACAAAGTTGGACATAATTGAGCCGGCCATTCAACAGTTTCAAATGTGGAGATTTGACTTTTCAAAACAACAAGGGATTACTTACAAAGGAGCTAGGTCTCTAAAACAGAAAAGAGGACGTCTCTGTTTGATTCAAAGGATACTACAAGCTATAAAAAGTGACTTGTTTATTGATATAGTGGCGTTGTTATGGAAACCTGTTTGGCATAAAAGGAAAGCTAGAATAAGATTTAAGAATGTGACTTAAGGTTTTATGTAATGGGTTTAAAAGGCTTACTAGATATGGATTGATTTATGGCTTAAGACAGTTAAATAAGATGTTAGATTGAATAAAAATTAATTAAAGGTCTGAACTTAATAATAAGGTGTTTGTCTATGTATTAATATGTTTTGGATATAGTAACTTTGGGAGGAGGTTAAAGAAATGTGATACAGATATTGAGGGATTGATTGTTAGATTATAAAGTATAATAGAAATAGAAAGGTATTTTTTCTCTTTTTTGTTTTGTCTTTGTTTTTTCTTCTTTGTTCTTTTTCTTTTCTGATTTGAACTAATATTTTGTTTTTATATTAGAACTGATAGTCACTTTTTAATGGAAGAAGAATAAGAAAAAAAAGAAATGATATTAATAAAATGTTTATTGAATATGTTAAGGAAAAAGGTAATGGGGAGACTCAAAGTGTTAACTATGTACTTAGATTAGAAATATGGAATATAGTAATTGAAATAGTTAAGCTTCACACAGGATTTGGATTTGTGGATATATTTAGATGAAAGATTATTGAGGATTGTTATGATTGATTTAGTTGTATTGAAATATGTCAATTTGAATATAGTATGTTATTAGAAGGAAAAGAAAGAGTGTTTTTAATGATTTAATCTGAACTTTATGAGTATGACTTTGTTTTGTGGACAACTGATTGCCCTGCCACCACGTTGTTTCTTAAGCACTTGTTTGTAAAATGAAAAAAACAATAAAACTTGTTTTAAAAAAAAATTACTATAGAAACACTACAGATCCAGGGCTGAGTTGGGTTTTGCTTTAGGATTTTGTGTTTCTTGACATTTTATTAACTGCAGCTGAACAGTGCATGTTCTATTTAAGAACCAATGCATCTATTTTAAATGTTTAAATAAGATTTAGTGGTGGGGAAAAAGGAGATTCTTTCCCAATGTTTACAAATATATATTAAAAAGAATGTATTCATCAGAAACTCTGATAAATACATTATCAGAATTGGATAATTCCCATCTTCATTGTTTCTGTACTGTTGCTTACTAAGAGTCTTTTTATTTAAAAAATGAGGATCTATTATGGTTTTGACTGCAAAAATAAGTTTAAAGATTAAATTAATTAATCAAATTGCTAAATTGCCTTTGGAACTGACTTACATGAAAAAAACACAGTGTAAAACTATTTAGAAATGCAGTCTATGCACACATCCTGACATAAGCTCCACCAAATATAGAAGAATGTATTTATTTATTTATTTATTTATTTATTTATTTATTATTCCCACCTTTCTTTCAATTTAGTATTCAGTACAACTGAGAATTAAATTAGAAAGTACAAATTAATTTTTAAAAAGCATAAATAAAAATTAACATAAAATTAATTTGCAAATAAAAGTCTGATAAAAAGATCCTAGCAGCTCTTTTAAGGCTCAGAAATTAAATAAAAATATCATAATATTGTTTATTACATTCAGAATGACAAATGTAAAGATAACTATTAGACAACCTCCCCAGACCCCATTTTATTAATCTGTCCTTTGCTGTGCATTTTTACATATAATTTCCTCTTTATTACTTGTTATTTGGTGCTCCTGAATTAATCTTAACTTTGTCTTTATTAGTTGCTCCTTAAGTAATTGTTCATGTTCCTCTTAACCTTGAAGTCTTTGATGCTCTCTGAGCTTGATAGTTTTCTTGCGGACATTTTACTATCAAACTAGGTAACATCATCAGTACACTGAAATGTAATGAAAGGGTAATGTATAATGAAATTCCTGCAAGAAAATAACCAAGCTCGGAGAGCACCAAGCACCCACAGTTCAACCCTGAGCTACAAATATTATCTTTAATGGTACTCTTAACTTTTTATTTCTGAAAAAAACTAAACATGTTTAATTGCTTAAAAGTGATTTAGTTCAACCTGGGTAGCTTCTCCCGCTCCTTCCAGTCAATTAAGATAGACATAGAAAACAATTTCCAATGGTTCAGTCAGAATGGCTGAATAGTCAGAATGGGCAATAATAATAAGACCCATGGTGGCGCACTGGTTAGAATACAGTATTGCAGGCTAACTCTGCCCACTGCCAAGAGTTTGAGCCTGACTGGCTCCAGGTTGACTCAGCCTTCTATCCTTCTAAGTTCGGTAAAATGAGGACAAGGATTGTTGTAAACTGCTTAGAAAAGGCTGTAAAGCACTATAAAGCAGTATGCAAGTCTAAGTGCTATTGCTATTATAAGTGCTAATAAGGGATTCTGGGAGTTCAACAACATCTCAAACATATCACCCATCCTGATTTAGGAGATCCTCAATGTAGCCTTTACTGAACAAAAGGCAGCCTGAATGTATTTGATAGACTCTCTCTTCATCACAATTTCAGATAAAAATAAGTTCTTTTACAAAGGTAGTAGTATTAGGTTTAAATTTACACATATAAAATCAATATATGTATAAAGTTTCCATTTATATATATATTATTCATTTCAGTTCTTTCAGTCAAGCCAATATGGTTTGTAGAGCTTTCTTGAAGTTACTGGAGATAATTTTTTATCTATCTTATCAACTTCTTCAGTAGCATGGGCTCACATGAGAGCTAAACACCCTAAAAACAACACTATGTTAACTGACTTTAAGTTTTAATTTACATGTTTTAAATTAGAGAACAGTCTTTTGATTCATAATATATTTAGAAAAATTACACATAATTTTATCCTGCAGAGGCTTTTGGCTCTGCTATGTGTTGAAAGGCTCTTGGCCCAGTAACAGAATTCACAGATACATATATAGATGAGAAGCCTTTAGGAAAGGCAACTGTTCCTTTAAACTTTAAACTTCATCTATAATAATAAACTTTATTATGGTTGTAGACCAGAAATAGCCATCACTTTTTACAATATATTAAATAATAATAATAATAATGACAAAAAAGTCTGGATAGTGGACGTGGCAGTGCCTGGAGATAGCAGAATAGAAGAGAAAGAACTGGAGAAGATAACAAAATACAAAGACCTACAAATAGAAATAGAAAGACTGTGGCCAAAGCAAGCAAGGGTAGTACCAATAGTCATAGGCTCCTTGGGCGCAATCCCAAAACAACTGGAGCACCACTTGAACACCATTGGCATTGACAAATTTGCTATTAGTCAATTGCAAAGGCGGCCTTATTAGGAACTGCTTCCATCCTGCGACGATACCTGTAATACCATCAAACATCCACATCTGCCTATCCCAGGTCCTGGGTAAGGACTCGATAGGTAGACAAAATGCCAAATCCAGTCTGAACATCTGGCTGACTGTGCGATGATCCATAATAATAGTACCATTATTAATAGTAAATAATAACATCCCTGTTAAGAAATTACATGTTCTCAAAATGTTAGGGTCACTCCCTAATTTATGTGAGTGGATAGCCGATTAATGTGTGAGTAAATATAATGTTCCAAACATTATTAGAGATATCTCCCAAAAATTGGCACAAGTTGACAACTATAAATCTGTAACCAATTTTTTTCTTGTGGACATTGCCGCAACACAGTATTTTGCCACTGCATGCGTGATAGAAGGGTTTGAGTCTTGGCGGAGAAAGCCTACATAAAAATTGTCTGCCCTCCCTGGCAATCTCTCTAATAAAGGGAAAATATACGCTGTCCTATAAACTCGGTATAACTCACAGTACAATAAAACATGTGAGATATCTTCGACTTCTCCTTTACCACATATACATACCTGTTCTGCTATTGGTGTTCTCTTACACCTGCCCTGTAGGAGTGCTGAGGGAAGAATGTTAAATCTGGCTCTGAAAAAAGCTATTCTTTGTTTTGGAAAGGTCAGATTATTCAAATATCTTGCCGATTCCCACACACCCTGTTTGATTCTATCCCTACTGTGGCAAGGCAATCTATTTAGTTCTTCTTGGAACTCCATGTCCTTTATTCTATTGGATATTACTTGCTTTGCTTGGTCAAAGCCTAGGGACACTAAGAATATCGAAGAGAGCCCATAAGAGCCCAGTTTATGATCTATCGCCTGCTTCCAGGGGGAAGGAAAGTTGTCAGTCAGCACTAACGGGGACAATCCCTCTGGAAAGAAATGAATTTTAAGCCAGTGAATGATCATCATCTTCCAGGCTCTTACCTGGATTTGGGGCATGCCTGTCTCAATTCTTAATTGGGCATTTGGGGTTCCTTTGGGTGCAGCTAAGATAGCTCGCAGGAACTTAGTTTGTATGGTTTCCAGCAAGTTTTTCTTTGCAAGGATTCCTGTTTGTGCCCCATATAGAATTTGCACCAATGTTTTGGCCTCGAAAAGTTTTAAGGCAGCAGGTACTAATTGACCTCCGCCTGTGTAAAAGTAATTTTTGATTGCATTTAA